GATGACCCCTCCGTTTCTTTTGGGTTCATTTAATATCGACTGTTGTAACAGAAGAAGTCGAAATGAACGATTTTGAGGGCGAAATCTAATTTAAGTGGGGGAGAATTGTAACATCCTGTTTCAGATCGTTTTGTGATTTAAGGCTCATGGGTCGTAATTCGGGTATGGAAGGTTTTGAGGATTTAAAGAAGAAAGATTTAGACCCTTTTGGATATGGGTAAGGTAGGTTGCGTGATAAAAGAGTTTGGTTTGTGCTTTTAGATCCCAAGGGAATCAGTAAAGGCGTTGGTTCGGGCCTTTCATGAATTTTGCATCCAAGGTTGTAGAACTTGTTACTCGGTACCTGCTCGGCCGACAACCGAGTAGCAAGTACTCGGGACTACTCAGGGAGTACTCGGATTCGGTAATTCATGTAGAAATACTTTTAGGGACATTATATATGTCAAAATCATAAGCTGATTAAATATATAACAAAATTAGATACATGTGAATACACAATAACTAAAAAACACATATTGGTTTCACTTCGTGAATAATTACTGAGAATTTAAGATATATATATATATATATGTAGTAATAATCACATGTGTATGTTAAATAATAGATCATTAATTATATTATACATATTAATCACATAGTTGACCAAGTTTTACAACATTGCTCAGTTCAATAAGGGTCGATCGGGGAGTACTCGGGATTTTGCAACTCGCATCGGTAGGGGGACGAGTAGCCAGTACTTGGAGGAGTAATTGGCCAAGTTGGCGAGTTTTACAACACTGTTTGGATCTGATTTCGAGTGGCTTTCAAGAAAGATAAAGTTGATAGAAGTGTAGGGCTTCTCGTTGCCTTTCTGTGGATATAAATAACATCAAAAACGTAGTTATAACGAAGAAGTTATGAACATTTGAAGTTAGGTGGGTTTTGGGCAGAACCAGGTACGCGGGGCGTACCAGATGGGAATGAATGGCGTTCAAGGGAAAAATGATGCAATGGGCATTCGATGAGCTGCATCAAAGACTCGTTTTTAGGGTTTGGCCCTTTTATAAGCATCATTATGGACCCAAACCTCTTTCATTCTTCAGCCTTCATCCTCTCTAACCCTAAGAACGAAACCTTAGCCTCCATTTGAGTGATCCTTGAGCTTTTTGGTGATTTAGCGGGTTTTTGGTGCTTATTGTGCAAGAAGGAGTTTCTTGAGGAAGCATTGCTTGGCTTGGAGCTTGTGGATTCAAGCCTTAATCATATTGATCTAGCTCCAGAAAGTATAAAGTTTGAATCTTGGTGGCTTTCTCATGGGATCTATTTGGGGTATGACTTGCTATGTTTTGGCCCTTGAAGAAGAAGGAACTTGGCGATCAAGCTATTGTTAGAGTAAGGCTTCTAGATCCAGAACCTTCATCAACTTTGCAAGCTACTAGAGCTATAAAGTTTCTATCTTGATAAATCATGTGTTTGATCTAACTAGTTTTGGGTTTTATGTGCTTTTTGTCCCAAAGCTTTGGTCTTTATGATTATGGGCTACTCTAGACCATTTAAGTTGTACTTTCTGAGGTTTTTGAGTGTTCTAAGGCATAAAAATGTGATCTTGGTCCATTCCTCCCATCCATGCAAAGGATTATAAAGTTTGGGTTTTTGTGTTAAAAGTTAGGGTTTGGGTTTGAGCACATTTAGCCATGATACGGCATAAAGTTGGGAACTTTATGTTGTAAAATGCCTTCTTGGACCAGATCTGAGTGTTGGGTGAAAGGACTTAAGGAGTTCAGGACTAAATGTGAGTCATTGGCCTCTTTATGGAGTTAGAGTGTTTGGAAATCATGTTTGGGCCCCTTTGAGTCATGCCAAGGATTAAAGCCTTCGAATTTATGGATTAATTTATTATTATGGGATTATTTTGAGGTGTTGGATACTGGACTTAATGGAATAGTTTATTAGAACAAGAATTGGAATTTCACCGGGAACATCGTGCGTAATCTTTGGGAACACAGCGCATTCCTGCTTTAGTCCCCATCAAGCGATCCGGCGATGAACGTCATGCGTTCCACCCATGAACGTCGCGCGTTTGTCTGATCAATTGAGTTGTGGGTTTTGTACTTGGACTTGTTCTTGAGGTTGGGCTTTGTTGTTTTGGGCCTTGTTAGGCTTGCCTTGATGGGTTACCTTGTTGGGCCTAAGGAGTTATTGAGTTGGGCCTTGGTGAGCCTATTTGGGTTTGGGCCTTACAGGGCATGTTTAGATTGGGCCTTGTGCTTTGGGTATAACCCTAAATGTTATCTAAGAATGATTTTGTTTGGCCCAGTGTGGAGTTATTGTGCAGCGGACACGAGTGTAGGATTTGTTATCCATCGGCTAAGGTGAGTCTTCTCACTATACTTACCTATGTGGTAATTTATGTGTAACTGGAGTATCTTATTCGTGTTATTGACCGGAGGGTCTTATTCGTATTATTGATCGGAGGGTCTTATTTGCTTATACTAGAAATATGTGCTATTATGCATTTTGTCTTTGTGACTTATGTTGATATATTATTTTGTGTGTATATATTGAGTTATGACCAGAGGGTCTATACCGAGACGTGAGACCGGAGGGTCTTCACTGAGACACATGACTAGAGGGTCTTCACTGAGACACATAACTGGAGGGTCCTTATCAAGATATAGCCATAAGAGGCTAATTATTTGTGTATGTGGTATTTTGGGGAACTCACTAAGTCTCGTGCTTAAAGTGTTGATTTAAATATGTTTCAAGTACTTTTGTAGATTTCGGGAAGGCGGAAGCATGATTGTACACATTCGCTGGCTTATGATGTTTGTGGATTTTGGGATACTCTAATATTGTTTTGATAATGATTTATAATTCTGTGATGACTTGGATTTATAAATAAAGTTTGGTGAAATAAAAATGAGAAATTTGTTTTGAAATTTGAGGTGTTACAATATATATATATATATATATATATATATATATATATATATATATATATAAAGAGAGAGAGAGAGAGAGAGAGAGAGAAAGCTACAATCATATATAAACAAAGAAGCATTATATATATATATATATATATATATATATATATATATATATATATATATATCATCCACTTTGTTGAAACCTTTCGTATATTATCCTTTAACCTATAGTACTCGATCGTTAAAGTAATATATGTGAACAGGTTCAAAATGTAGGATTGTATATGGTGTAAAAGAAGACTTAACATAAAAGTTTATTAACATCCTAAGTCATTTTCCCTGGGAATGGTACAAAAACATATATAAAAAGTTGAACTTCAAAATATTTGGAATAATAAGGAATTTAATTTCACCTATTATTTTGGTTGGAATGTCATGAAACTGGGTTTTACATCCCGCACTATACGAAAAAAATACTTGAGTTGTCAAATTAGTATGTCATATACATTCAGAAACGATTTTGTTATTAGAATGTAAGAAGGAAACATATAGTATAGCTATTACATCTAAGCAGGATATATATATATATATATATATATATATATATATATATATATATATATATATATACACACACAATGTCAAACAAAGAGCCACGTAACTAGATATCTAGTTTATCCAGTGAAGCTGAAGTGGAAGGTCACCTCTATCGGGCTCTTTGGTTTCTTAGATGGGTTGCCTGGTTGCCTCAGATATGGTTTCTAATTTGATTTTGCTTCAGATCTAGTGGTGGTTTGATTTTTCAATTTTACCTTATACCGATTTGCTTTTTCCATTTTCCGTTTTGATTTCCTTTAAATTTGCTCATGATACGGTAGTCATTTTTCACTTTTACCATTTCCCGTTTTCCAAGTTTCTGGAACAATTTTGTTGTGATTTACTTTTGATTTGTTTCATATGTGAACGGTATGGTGGCGTCCGACGGTCATATCAAAGAAAACGAAGGGGGTGACTTTTCATTGGTCGAGTATTCGAAGAAGAGGTTGATGAGGAGGGTGTTGGGTAGGGAGGTGGACCACATATCTAGTTACCATATTTTTAATTTTAATAGGTTAATAACATAAATAAAAATAATAAAAAGATTAAAAAAAACACCTACAATGGTAAAATAGTCTTTTTAGAAACTAAACGCACAACAAAATTATATCTTAAGAACCGTCCGAGTTAAAAAAAAAATTGTGATCAAACACGTAGATTATCCTAAACCATAGAGACCATTTGCGTAATAATAATAATAATAATAATAATAATAATAATAATAATAATAATAATATAAATCATTAACATTAGAGTTAATTTTTGCAAATATTTAATCGCTTTAATCTACTCGAATCCAAATACACAAAATAAAGATATTAACATCATTGAGAGAGTCAAGCCATTACAATTCAAATCGATGTCGTCGTTTAAGGTTTGGACATTGTTTTATTTTCTTGTCCGTCGTCTTTGGTTTCATCGACACCATATAGCAGCAGGTGTATCATGAATAATCATTATGAAGTATAAGTTAAATAGTTAATTGTAAAGTAACATTAGGATATGTATGATTTAATTGAAAATTATTGTTTAGTTTATATGTTGAGTATGAATATAGTTTTTGTACAGATATAGGGTTCAATTAAGATACCCCTTAATTTATTATTACATAATTGGGCACAATACTTGATGAGTTTGATTGAGTGCAAAAGTCATAAGATATTAATGAAAAAGTAAGAACTCAACATATTAAGGTTTTTCCATTACAAAACGATTCAACCAAAAGTTTTTGTTTACACTTTATTTTTGTTTTGGGCATTCTCAATTTACCTAAAAGATTTAAAAAGTTGCATACGTATTGAAAGTTTAGAACTTGGAAAATGTTTGTACACCCAAATCATATGCCAATATCCTTAAAAAGTGATTCACCAAAGGAAAGTGTTATCAAAAACATATTGTTTGCAAAAGCAAATGATAAGATCCAAAACATATTTAAGTATCCAATCTAAAGACTTTACATTTGATATAAGATCCAAATCACGAACTCAAAAACAAACTTCAAAATTGAAATTGAGAGATGCTGCAGCAGCTGGCAGGTGACACCCAAACAAGACTATCAACATACCGAACAACTTTATGTATCCATTTACATTCACCTTGAAACTTAAAGAATTTAGTTGCAATTGGATCATACAAAGCAAGATCACCTCTTAAATCTTGAAAAAGGAACTCATTGTGTGATATGATTCCACGTGGAATTAACTCACAAGGGGAAAAGACATGAAGTTTCACCCATGATTCAGCCACCCCATACTCATCCATCACCCACAGCTCAAATTTAGTTGATCCTTTTGCTTGAAAACTTGACATTACACAAAGTTTTCCAGTAAAAACTCCTAAGAGATTTGAGATTTTATACACAGTGTAATCTAGTACAGAATCTGGAAGATGTATCTCATGAAATGTCTCTGCACCCAAATCAAATGCCAATATCCTTTTTGGAGCAATCTCCAAGTTAATACAAGCAAGCCAATGAAGACGATTTTGACAAACTACATCTTGATCATAAATATTTGTGAGGTGTGATGGAATCTTTTGAGTGATAAACTCCCAGGTCCCTTTTCTCATGCTGTAAACCTCAGCTTGCATCCACTCTGTAGTGTCAACTTTTGAACCAATGATGCCTAAAACTTTTACAACTTTGTAATCATCAGTTGTGGGATCAAACCCAAACCCGAAATTAGTACAGATCCAAGCATTACATTCAGAGGGCAAGGAATAGGGTGGGAGAGTTAATAAGGCAGAGAGAGAAGGGTTCCATATGTAGATCACATCGGAATACTCGTATGATCCGTATTCAAAGCAGATTAAGCCGTTAACAGATCCAATGACACTGCCACTTCTGTTTTCAGATTGGGGATTAAGTGGGAGTTTGATGAAATTAGCGAGATCCAGATTGGGAGATCGAGAGGGGTGTACTGTGAATGGTTTAGAGTCGAAAGAAAATGGTTTTTTGAAGATCAAGAGAATTTCATTGTTGCTATCAACTGAATGATCCAGGTGATATTTTATGAAGGAGGAATGAGATAACAGAGCATTCCATGATTTGCAGACAGTCCTCATTTTAGCAAGATGTTTCGCCCTAAACCCGATGAATATGTTTGATAAAACACAGTGTGGGAGTTTCTCCATGGTTTCCGGTCGTTGTGGTGAACAATGGCGAAAACCCTAACAGAAATCACAATTAACAAATTTTATTACAAACTGTTACATTATTTAACAAAAATTCCAGGATAATAGAGGTTTATTAGTAACGATTACGCTGCTAACAGGCACTACTAACTAGCCATAATGATTTTGCTAGAAAATGAGTAAACAGGGCGATAGTGATACCTAAAGAGAAATCAAGAAGCGAGAACATATGAGAAACGGAGAACCAGAACGGCGGAGGTGGAAGCAGGTATCTGTGCACAGGTCGCCGACGGCGGTGGCGAAAGAAAGAGGATACAGAGAGCGACGAAGAAAGAGGAAGGATGGCGAGAGCGCGGGAGATAGAGAACGCGAGACTTTGGTCAAAAGGGTTTCTTTTCCAAACGGATAAACCCATGTTTTAAAACCCGGGTCGACCCGGCCGGTTCAACCGGTTGGACCATGATCCGGGGTAGAAGGCGGGTCAAATTAGACCGGTTTTTTGTAAAAATACGAACCGGATCGAACCGGCCGGGTTTCCCCTAAACCGCGGTTCGACCGCTTATGTTGAACCGGTTAAACCGGTTTGACCCGTTTCAATAGAGTTTGGATGGTTGCATACAAGTAGCGAACGCCAAAACAACGAGCCGTTTGCGGTTTCTTCAATGTTTTTCAATGTTTAAACTTTGTGGACATCAAATTATTGGTTTTATATGTTTATGCATTATGCATGAAAGTAAAAATATATAGAAATAGAAAAAGACCATAAACCGGGTTGACCCGGCGGTTCAACCGGTTAAACCGGTTGACCCGTGAACCGGTCATCGCACCGGGTCAACTAAAAACCCGAGTTTTAAAACATTGGGATAAACACAGGTATGTTTATCTGGATATTCACAAAAGTTATATGTATTTTTTACAAGGGAAAATGAGAATATTTCAAAAATGTTTAAAAAAAGAATATCAAAGTTTGTATATTTAAAAAATAGCATCTAATTAAAGTCTTTGTATAAAAAACACCAATAAAATATATCTTTTGTTCACATCTCCACCTAATTTGTATAAGAAACCCCAATAAAATATACATTTTGCTTACATCTCACCTAATAGTAACCGGTTCTTATGGATGAGTAGGATTAAAAAAATATTGAGTTGGCCTAAGATTAATGATATGGGAGAAAGAGTGGTTGACATAGCATTTATATGTGTATTTCTTATTTAAATCCAATTAGAGCTTTTGCTCATAATAAGGAACGACTTCTCATGGGTTTCTTTTCCTGTATCGTCTTCTTCTTCAGGTCTTGTGACGGCATTTATGTATGTATTTATTTCTTTAAATCCAATAACCTTCCCATGTATAAAAGCAACACCCAAATCCACTTTTAATTACAAATGATCAACGCACTATACCTACGACTCAAAATATTTGCTAAAATCTAAGTGATTGATTATATTAACATAAAAGATAGAAATGGAGTAAATAAGCGTCTACAAAAACAGCAAAATAAATTTAAACATCAAGCTGGAAAATAGAGCACAACAACAACGGTACATAAAAACTCAACTAATAGGGGTAAAATGGTCAAAATATTGGAAAAAACTCCCGCCAGTAACTATGAATTCTGAAAGCAGCAGGTCTTACAAAAATTAATGAACTGTGGATGAAACGATTAAGCATATGACACCAAAACATCCTCACACCATAAATGGACAGTTACTGTTACCGATAAGAAATGGTCCAAAAAAAACGGTTATAGCTCTTCATGATGAACTTCTTCAAGATTAACTAAATGTTGCTATAACCATTGTGGAAAACTAATGTACTCACAGCTAGACCATTTTGCCCCTTACAACTGGACCAATTTTCCCTGCTGTTATCCTCAATTTGGTATAATGATTCACAAATGGATTATAAGGATTGCAACTGTTCTTGTGTAACTTATTTCCAACATCAAGTACTTTATTTAAAAAAAAATGTTGGACAACATGGGTAAAAGGCTCCTTATTCCACAGTTAATGCATCATATTTATAGGAAAACTAGTAAACTACTTTACCAAAAGACAGCATGGGTAAAATCATCCAAAGTGTTCAAGACAGATGGAGGCACAACATATGAATAATTACATCAATGTACTTTCACAAGTCCTATGTAGACAAAGGAATGCAAAATAATTTCTCAAACACCTTTTGAATTGATCACCATCCTCCTTCCAGGGTTTTTTAAACACCTTAATTTGAACTTATCATAATTTTTATATCCCCATTTGCAGTCAACTATATGCTCTCTTCTGTATATAAGTACGTCATTGTTATTGATCAAATTCACAAAATTAACTAAACATGAAGAAGTCTCAACTTAGATCTTTTGTCTTCTTCTTGGTTCTGATTTTCTTGTTTTCTGTTTCATGGGCAACCTTGTTATCTTCACCAGGCTCTGGAAATCTCATAAGTTGCCTATAGTCCCACTCCAACAATGTCACTACCATCTCTTAATTCATTTTCACCCCTGTTAATGCTTCTTTCCTACCCATTTGGAAAGTTACAGTTCAAAACACCAGGTTCCTTAAGCCCTCCATGCCTAGTTCATCAATCATTGTGACACTTATGGAGGAAACCCTTATAGAAAAATTCCATTGTGTCAGATCCGGACTTGTATTATCCTTAAAACGCAAGCTGAATCTTTGAAGAATCAAGAAAATACATTAATTTTGAGATGATTCTTCACAAACTGTACAAATCAAAATCAAGATGAGAGTATAACTTACATAAAGATGAATATATCTGACTGTAGAGAAGAATCGAGTTTAGAATTTGTTGGAGTAACTGTTGATCGATCGAACCGTAGAGAAACATACTACCTCGCTTTCTGTCATTTACGAGAATTGGGGTAAAATCCCACGTATTACTAACTTAATCGACATAAAGTCCATGTCATTTTTTTAACAGGTAAAATCAAAAGGGAACCCTACAGATGCCGGTTACTATAGGTTAGATGTGAACAAATGGAATACTTTCTTGGTGTTTTTTCTTACAAAACCTTTAGTTAGATGGTATTTTTTTAACAAGGAAAACTTTGATGGTCTTTTTTAAACATTTTTGATACATCATTACCCTTACAAGTCATTTTCCCTTTCTAAAATAACATCTGACATTTTTTTCTTTAAGAATTCATCGTTAACCTAACATTTGAAAGTCTCCTTTCTAAGTTTTTTTTTTTATATATATTTTTTTTAATAAATTTATCACATGATTGATTCCAAACTTTCTTCTGACAATTTTGCATAGATATGTACGTAACTAACTATTGCGTTTGTTATTATTTGGTCCTTTGTTTTTGTACTCAATATATTATCGAATTTGTTGTTTGTGCTCATCATAATCCTTTTGACAAGCTTTTGACCGGCTATCACCTATGTTGTAGGTCAAAGGATTATGGTGAACATAAACAACAAGTTCAATGGTATATTATTGGGTACAAAAAAAGGATCAAATGAGAACAAACTCAACAGTTGGTTACTCTTCTGAGTCATTTTCCCATTACTCATTTACAGAAAGTCTCACGCAATCTCCTGCTCATATTAATGACTTTATGAGATGCATTCTTGCTTCTCTTCAAACCATAACCCATGAAAGAACATTATTCATACATGTACAACTTTGTAATACACTTGAATATTTATTATGGGAATCTTGATTGAGCAAGTGCATTTCATGACTATATTTACATTTCTAATCAAATGATTTATCATATCATAGATTCTAGGCAAGTCTACAAATGAGTAGAATCACAAGTGTTGTGATTTTGAGTTTACTTGGTTTTAAGATCGAAATCATATGATAAGATACAACATCAATATTATAAAATCCTGTAGCTTTTGCGGACACATCACCATAATATACCTCGAGGTAAATGTTTATGTTGATAAGTATACCTCCCATACACAGTCATATCATTTTGCAGAGAGTTGTTGCAGCTAACCACATTAAGCATAACATAGATGTAACACTGTAAAAATTTGAACAATTTTTTTTCACTTTTGAAAACCATAAAATATCATTTGTAATCATAAATAAAAACATTGTGTCAACATTGTATCAGTACAAAACCCAAGATCAAAATACATAAACTCCGGTGTTCGTGTGTACGAATCATGTCGGCGCCTTCCCGCGATCATCACTGGTACCTGAAACACATAACACATTATAATGTAAGCATAAATGCTTAGCGAGTTCCCCAAAATACCACTCTAACACATAATAGCTACTCGAGGCTGTAACTTCGTTGGCCCTTAGGTCTATGTGTCTCAGTGGGGCCCTCCAGCCCTAACTCTCTATGGGCCCTCTGGCCCTAACTCTGTGGACCCGAAGGTCCTAACTCTGTAACTCTGAATCATGCATAACACATATCACAATGAATCATAGCACATAAATAACATGCAATTACATTGGCATATAACTCTAAAATACTCTATCACATAACTCTGTTACCACACTAGGTAAAGTATAGTGAGAAGACTCACCTCGGGTATCTCGGTGATAGTTAGTCTTGTTTACTTATTTTTATAGTTTATTTTAGCATATTTCATTCATAATTTAGATAATTTCCATGCATATTTTCCTTTTTGTTATTTTATGACTATTTCGGGTACTTTCGAATCTTGTGAGCATAATTGCAGGTTTTCGGGTCTAGCGGAGCGGGAGTGTTCGGGACGTATGGGAGGCGATGAGATTTGGTAGACAAAAATGATGTTGGGCTTGATGGGTAGTGGAGATGATGCATGGAGTGATCTTGATGATTATTTGAAGGCTTGGAGAGAAATAAACTTTAAATTTGCAAGATGTGGGGGAATATTCAAGCGTACGTAGATTATTAATCGGGCGAGTTCACGAGCTTTGGAGGATTTGGAGAGGTCAAATTGGGCTTAAAATGAAGAAAAACTTGAAGAAAATGGGCTAGGAGGTGATTGGATTCGATCTGGGCTAGTGGGATATGCTTCGGAGGCCCAAAATCTCAAAGAAGCCCATGTCAGGCACCACCCGCGTAGCAGCACGCGGGTCGCGCAAGGCTCTGCAGGGGTAATTTTGGAAATCCATTTGGAAGGCTATTTGAGGAAGGTTGGTGCCCATCTTTTGAAGACTCTTAGACATCCGATTTTTGGAGATTCTCTTTGGAGTTTTGAAGACTTTTGAAGGCCAAGAACCCTTGAAGAACATCATATTTTTACCTCTTGATTCTTGCTTAATGTTTGGTACAATTTTCTCTAACTTTGTTTCTTTGGGTTTAGCCATGCTTGGCTAAGCTAATCTTGGTTGACTTTTGGTTAATCCTTTGAACTTTTGTTGAATGTTGAAGAATCCATGAACATGTTCTTGAATCTTTATGGGAATGTTTTGTGTTTTAACATCTTATCATTACTTGTATGTTTTAGTTCATGAGTTTAAATGTGTTTGTGGTGATTAGTTGGCTAATTTCTTGATTAAGTAAAGGATCCTCAAATTAGCAAGCAACAAATGATTTTTGTGTTGTTTTTGCTTCACACAATCATAAAAACATTTCCTCCAACATGGTGGTGAAAGCATTTGACCCCTCTTGGATTTGGTGACTTTTTGGTTCTTAATGCTAGTTGACTTTCACTAATTACATGCTATTTGGAATTAGTGACTTTGACTAAGGAAATTGTTATGAGCTTCTCTATCCATTTCAACAATTAAGAAAAGTCTAGGTAATCTCAAGCTCCTTGGATTACTATAGCCAAATTATGGATTTAAATCAAAGTATTGCACCATTGGAATCTAATGATATGTTCATCAAAAGTCAAAGTGAGGAAACTTTAAGTCAACCTTCTCTCCCTTATTGATTTACATCAAACTCTTATTTTTGTTGCATTTGTCTATTTAAATCATAGTTAATTCTAGTTTGTTTCAAGTGTTTCAAAACACCAAAACCCCCCATTTTATATTTATTGTCATTTTACAAGTATTTTTTCAAAGAGATTTTTTCATAGAGTTATAAATTGAACCAATCTCCGTGGATTCGATCCCTTTACCACTATACACTATTTTAGTGTGTAATATTTAGGGTTATTATTTGTGTTGGCCTCGACAACCACCACTCGGTAATCTCTGACTCGGTAATGCTGGTCTAACCTCCACCTAATCATATAAAATAAATACTCTAATTATTACAACTCTCAAAGGCTAGACTATGTCCTCTTATGACACTCTCAGAAGGGTAAAAGACCATTTTACCCCTCTCACAACTCAAAAGGCCCCACAATAGACCATACCCTAAAAGTCAACCCAAAAGTCAACTTTCCGGGTTACGCTGCGTGTACCAGATGTGTATGCTGAGCGTATCCGGGTGCATCTCAGGATCGGGGAACGCCACTCAGTACGCGGCGCGTACTGGGATTACGCCCGGCGTACTCCCCAGCTTCAGCTCCTTAACTCTTTAGGTCTTAAACAGTTAAGACTCACGTCCAATTTCTAGATCTGACCACATCTAAGCCTCTTAATCCATAAAGTTGATGACTTTATGCCTTTGCGTGGCTGAACAAGCCACCAACTCCCATAATATTCCATCCTCTAACCCTAAAAGGCTTATTACTTAAGCATGACCTCAAACTAACACTAAAGATGGAAACTTTATGGCTCTAAATCGCTAATAGCACTGAATGGGGACAGATCTCGGACCATGGAGCACTTTACACTCATAAAGTCGCCACCTTTGGGGGTTTTTAGCCCTAGCAAAAGCACATGCAACAACAAATCAAAAGAAGAGGAAAGTTTTGAACTTTATACCTCTAAGTGTAGTCCCTTGCTCTGTAGATCTCAGATCCAAAATGACACCTCAAGCTTTAGCTTCCAAGAACTCCGTTCCTTCTTCTTCACTAAGTCACCAAAGCACAATTAGCTCCAATAACATTCACACACACTAAGTACAGTGGGAAATTCTCTTTTAGGGTTTCACTCACTGATATGGAGGCTGAGAAATGAGCCTTAGCACCCTTTAAATAGTGCACAAGATGGATTAGGTTTTTGCACCTGGGCCGGGTACGCCCGGCGTAACTCTTGGTACGCCCAACGTACCTTGGCGATTCGCGTCCAAACTACGCACACGAGTACGCGCAGCGTACCCCTCTGCTACGCCCAGCGTACTCACTTGCTAACTTTTCTCCACACAAGGGCTAATCATGACTAATGACAAAGAATAAGGATAAAAGAAATGCACCTGAATCTCGGGGTGTTCCAATAAACCATGTTTTGACGAAGTTATCCCTTCGAAATGCTCTTCATGTACGTTATGGCCTAAAAAGGTTGTAGTCTTTGATACTTTTGTAGCTTTAATTTCATTTAACTTTTTAGGGAAAATGACTCATGAGGGTAAGCAATTGTTGACTTTGTTCTCATTTGGTTCCTTTCCTTTCTTTGTATCCAATATACCATCGAACTTGTTGTCTGTGTTTACCATAACCATTTGACCGGCTATCACAGGTGATAACCGATAAAAAGGGTTATGGTGAACACAAACAACAAGTTTGATGGTATATTGGGTACAAAAAAAAGGAAAGTGACCAAATGAGAACAAACTCAACAGTTAGTTACCCTCCAGGTGTAACATCCCGACTCCTAATTGAGCAACTCGACAGGTGGGTGCCCCAACTCGTCAAGTAGACATGGATTGACCACATGGGTTTTACAACCAACTCGGCGAGTCGGAGAGACCAACTCGACGAGTTGGCGCCGTGAGAAGAAACCCAAACTACCATATATCGTACACATAATCACATAATATCATACATTGGGCCTTTCCCGTTACATCGGGCCCCGCTCGACATTGGACGAATCCGACATCGGGCCCCGCCCGACATCGAACTGAAGTCCAGCATCGGGCCCCGCCCGGTATCGGACCGAAGTCTGATATACATATAATATAGCAACAAGCATATAACATAAACATCTTCCTCGGGCTTGCCCCGACATCGGACCGAAGCCCGAAACACATAACATAAACATATAAGCTAAACATTCATCGGGCTTGCCCCAGCAGCGGACCGAAGTCCGAAACACATATAAGCATACACATGCAAGAATCACGAAGACATCAAGCATACAAACATTCCTTGGGCTTTCCCCGGCATCGGACCAAAGTCTGGAACATATAATCCACATCGGGTTAACCCCGACATAGGACCTAAGTCCGACATATACTAGCATACATAAAATGGGTCGACATTGGTGCCTTCGACTCGTTCCTACTGGATGAAAAATCACCTCTCAAGCTGGCTGCTAAAATCTCATGTGAGGAATCTCTGATGACTGCTCCAAAGACTCCCCGACTGTCATTATCACAATAAACACTTGGTCAAAAACTGACAATCCTGCTAAGGGTAAAATGACCATTTTACCCCTGGTCAAAGTCAACATTTTGGGTTGACCCAACTCGCCGAGTTGACCTATAAACTCACCGAGTTCTATAACTTAAAAACCCTGAAATCACGATCCAACTCGCCGAGTCATCCCCCCAACTCGTTGCGTTCTATCTGGTACAAAATCGGGACAACACGACTCAACTCGTCGAGTTCCTCTATGGACTCGACGAGTTCTTCAGTCTGTATGGGTATTCTTAAAGGTTAGGGATGTTAACGGGGGTAAACGGGGCGGGGAGTGCATCTCCCGCCCCCGCCCCTGAAATTTCCCCGTTCCCCCGCCGCCGTCCCCGCCCCCAGGATGTTCAGTCTTCCTATCCCCGCCCCCGCCCCGAATCCCCTTTATTACCCCCGTCCCCGCCCCCGTTCCCCCGCCCCCAATTGATTTTGGGCTACTTTTTTTTTTGGTTAAAAGAAGTTGTTATTTAGGCTAAAAGAAGCTATTTTTTAGATAACAAATAATTATTTATAGCAAAATTTTATATGTTAAAAATAAAAAAGTTACGACATTTTAAAAAATTATGCTAACAAGTTAAAAACATGTTTTTTTGATGAATTTTGGAAGCTCAAAATCATGTTATTATTTGTTATATTTATATAATATAATTAATATATGTAAATATATGTGCAATTTATTAACGGGGTTCCCATGGGGATTTCGGGACGGGATTACGTACCCCCGCCCCCGCCCCCGAAATTAAAACGGGGGTTAACCTTGCCCCCACCCCTAATTTTTTTTAAAAAAAAAACCCCAAACGGGACGGGGCCCCACGGGAACGGGGTCCCATGAGAGTTTTTGACATCCCTATTAAAGGTTTAAGCCCCTACTCTTCAGATCTAAGCTTCTTATTCCTCATGCACCCTGTAAATGTCCTTTTAAGGGTAAAGTTTCCAACTTTACCCGTTAATAGCCCTTCTTCATAGGTTTCACTCACCGAGTAGGCGACTTAAAATCTCGAAATTAGGGTTTCACTCTGACAGACCTACTCGCTGAGTTGAGGGCTCTCAACTCGCCGAGTAGGCAACTTAAAATCCCGCAACCAATCTCGTTTCTACTCGATGAGTCTGGGGCTCCCAACTCGTCGAGTAGCTTTACAAAAGTGAATAGATTATAATTAAATGTGTACTAGGAATCAGACGTTATTGAAAATACAGAATAATACAATCATTTATCTACCAGCATTCAGAAAAACCCTTATATTTTATTTATTTGCAGAAAAAGCCTTACATTTTCAGTTACCTTTCAGACTTACCAAAATATCCGTTTTTTTTTGGAGTTATCAGGTTGTATTCTGACATAACGTTTATCTTGTTCGATTCTAAGCTGACATGGAAAAAAATAAACAATGTCACTTATACTTGCTTGAGTAAATGGTCGTTGAGTAAATTATGTATTTTTCACGTTTTACTTTAGAAAAGCGTCAACTTCGTTTATTTATGTTTCATTGTTAAGCTAAAAACAAAAATATAAATGTTATGTCGCAAAACAACCGATAATTTCTTTAAAAAACCGAATATTTGGGTTAATATGAATGATAATTAAAAATATAAAAGTTTTTCTGCATACAAAAAAAATATAAGAGTTTTTCTGAATGTTAATAGATAAATGGTTGTGTTTTTCTATATTTTGTCCTTCAAAATAATATATAGTAAGTATTAAAATTGTTAATTTTTATCATTCAAACACAAATATAAAATCTATCAAAACGTGATTCAAAACCTCTAAATCATTTGGAGATTGCCAAATAATCACTCATCATAGAAGTGATGCCACTAAAAATCTGATTATGTAAGAAAATAATAAAATATGTAACTAATTTTTATTAGTTATTTTTAGATGAAGCTAATATTAAATTAATTGACCGTTCATAAATAATAAAACAAATCACAAACAATATGACTTCTAACATTTAAAAACTTCATGATTTCTAAAAGTAAAGTTACCCTTTATTTTGATGTATTCTCCGGTCCTACCCATTACAACCATAACAACTCCATTTTGAAATTCAAATCTCATCTTTTACCTCCTACTGTCTGATACCATATCACCTAATTTCCGACACAAACTCGCCGGAAAATCAAGAAACCCGGATCCAGTCTCAGAAATGGAACCAAAACAACAAACCCAACAACAAAAACTTGAAATCCCATCTTCACCATTACCACATTCATCATCTTCTTTCTTACTCCGTGACATTTCGAATTTAAAAACTCCCAAACCACGACGCCAATCTCAAGCAAACCCTAGTTTGAACTTCGAATCTCCTTGTCCTCAGTTCTTTACTGCTTCTAAACAAACACCCAATTCATCACATTCTACCGTTCGACGCCGCCCTAGGTATTCACTTGCTGCTCAAAAACTCAAAGCGGTGGAACTAGAGCAATCAAAGTCATCAAGGAAAACACAAACAGACAAAGAGAAATCGCTCAAGTCGTTGGCCAAATCTCTTACTGTTTGGCTAAATTTCCTGTTCGAAAATCCCAGGTTCGGAAACACGATCACTTATTTACTTCAATTTAAAGCTTATCAACAACGTTTTCAAGTTCGTGCATGTTATTTTCAAACCAAACAATGTTTTCCACCTTTTTTCTTAAAATTCGGGTCAAATTATTATTCAAAAATACAGGTCTTGTGGGGTCGATGTATCAAGATTCACCGGTGAAGACTCTTCTGATGAGTCATCCATGGTGTTTTCCGGTGGAAAAAGAGACAGCGTCTGTCATGACGGAATCGGGGTTGATCGAGAGTGGCGTGGACCCAAGCGTAGGAAAGATACGCTGTGGATTCATAAGGGTGAAGTGGAAAACAACTTTTCAAGTTCCATACATACACGCTTGCAGGTTTCCCTTGAGGATGTTTGTAGTTTGGATGACATGAAAGAGAGAATGTCATTTTACTTGAGTCTCACTAGTTGCAAGGAGATTTTTGATGTCATGACTCATGTAACAAAGGTATGTCTGTAGTTATTTGTGGGCTAATTGTTAGTTCTAGATTATTAACTATTATTATGATACTAAATAACATTATTTTTTTCTCAGAATATTGATGAAGGAAGGCTAAAGATGAAGGCTCACTGCCCAATAGTTACTGATGTTGGAATGAAAGAGAATGCATTGAAGATCTTAATGTGTTATAACCCTGTTTGGTTAAGAATAGGGCTTTACATCATATTTGGTGGCGAATCTTTGTTGCCAAATCCAAACACAGAAATGAATTATGATCAAGAAATATCTTTTCTTAAAATGGTTGCTGAAAAGTTGTTCTTTTCTCATTCTGGACTTGCAAAAGCCTACATCTATAACAAACTGGTTGAAGGTTTGTATAGACCAGGTTATTATGAGAAACTAGGGAGTGTTATATTGAAGAAGTTTTTATTGCTTGTAATCATACTTGATCGAGCTAAATCTCAGAGTAGCTTGCCGATTAGTTATGGAATAGATGGAGTTGATGGAGGGTCACCATTGTTGTTCACATCACGAGCTACTATCAAATCAAGCAGTGAAGTGATTTCAGGTAAAAAGAAGAATATTTATCTTTATCTCTTTCTTGGTAGTTTAAAAATGGTAACAACTTATTGTTTGGATATTTGTTCTTTTGGCATGTGTAGAGTTTTTATCACCAGATGTTATGCATGGAGTTGGTAATCTTCTTACACACCTCATGATTATAGGCTACAAGGTTTCTTATCGACAGGTGTGTAGCTCATTTTGATTACTCATATTTTGTTGTCTTTTTCTTACAGTGGGTCCCACCTCAGTTCTCCTTGTCTAGTTAATGGGACCCACAATAACATCTTCATACTAGGTGATGAAAGTGAAGAGCACTTTATGTCTTTTTTTTTATCTTCATTTCTTCATTGCTAGTATCTGCTTTCAGTGTTTGTGTATCATGCTCATGTTTTGTGTTTACATCTTGCAGAATCCTCTTGTCAGATATGTGTTTAAGGTGACTAATCTTTTTAATGATCTTCAAAATGGAGTTCTTCTTTGTAGAGTCATTCAGCTCTTGCAACATGACCCTTCAATTCTTAAGGTTTGCTTATTTGAATTAAAAACGTCAAAAGAGTTTGATTTTCTATGATTCTATGATTTCTATCTAACTTACTTCTGTTACTTGTTTGGCAGAAAGTGGTTGTTCCATCAGATGATCGAAAGAAGAACTTTGCAAATTGTGAGATTTCTCTAAAATATCTGAAAAATATTGGAGTTCCATTATGTGATGAAGATGGAGTTGAGATTATAACAGAAGATATTGTTAATGGGGATAAGGAGCTCATAATCTCATTGCTATGGAACATCTTTGTTCATTTACAGGTTTAGTTCAAATCTTATATACTTCAGTCAACATGTTAGCAAGTGTCTTCTTAATGCATTTGTAAAGAATATGATAATTTCATATATTTAGTTGGATTTTTCTACTTTAATTTGCAGTTGCCACTTTTGATCAACAACAAGCTTGTATCAGGTGAAATCACCAAAATCCGTGGACTTGAAGAGGTATGCATTATACATATAATAAATAAAACATTCATTTTATGAAAGAGATTTGACTTATTGAACTTCCATACTTTATCTCAAACATTTTTTGTTGCATATAAGTTGTAAAAATGTAAATCTAAACCATCATATTTGGCACTTTCTTTTTTCAAAGTCACTCATTCTTGCAAAAAAAGGTGTAATTTATGCATTTTGGCAAGAACAAAATATAGTAAGGCGATAACTCTTCTTTGTATCTTTGCAGATGCTTCCGGAAAGCTCTAGTTCTTTGCAGATGCTTCTTGAGTGGATTAAGGTTGTATTGTTTTCTAATAAGTGTAATTGCATCAAGTAGTTGTATCATTGAATTTTGAATGATGACTCCTGAGTCCTGACAACTTTTATGCTTCTCATTTTGTAGGCAGTTTGTGAAAATTATGATTTGAAAGTTGATAATTTTGCTTCATTAGTTGATGGTAAAGCAATGTGGTGTTTAGTGGATTATTATTTCCGAAAAGAACATTGTAATGCTAGTTCTAACAAGGTATGCATTCTTAACATGTGAAAGTTGTGTTTTTGTTCATCTTTTTGATGATTGTGTAATAAGTTTTCATATGTTTTTGATTTTTTAGAATCAAAAGGAAACAAATGAAGTGTCACTCATGTCAGCTTCGGATTATGTGGATGCAGTTCACAACTTTTTGTTATCACAAAAGTTGACAACACTTTTGGGAAATTTCCCAGAGGTATGCTAATTGTTTAACATTAAGACAATGTGCTTTTTTCCTTCTTCCCATTAAGTTTTGTCTTGATAAATGATGTTTAAAAAAATATTTGAGAGAATTGGTGATATATATTTTCATTTTCAGATTCTGCAAGTCAGTGATATACTTGAATACAAAGGAGCTTGTAGTGACAGGGGTGTGATCATCCTGTTGGTTTTCCTCTCATCCCAACTAATTGTGAAGAGAAATTTGGTAATGCCCAAACTACCCCTTAAAGGGTAAGTTGAAATAATTTGGATAACACATTCTTTTTTCTTTGTATACCAGCAACAGATAAACTTTCATAAGCTCTTAGGACACAATCAAAATTCAGAGAGGAAATGTATTAGGCGAGATAGACTTCTTGGAAATCATGAAGAAACAAGTCAGAACCACAATGAAGGTTCAAGTTTTGATTTAATTTTATATTAAAGTTGATTGCTTTTTGGTTTTCTTGATTGACTAATGACAAGTTATTTTTACTATTAACTTTTTGTTTAGACAATGGGAGAAAGTTCAAGGCTATCATGTCTTGGTGGAAAGAAATGGCTCAGCATAACAGTAATGTCAATGTGAAGCCAGTTTACACCAAATTTATTCAAGAAAGAGCTTTGATTGTAAGCCAACAAAATAATACCAAATGTAATCAAGAAAAGGCTGCATTAAGAATTCAGGTTGCTTGGAGAAAGCATGTAAACAGCTCTATCCATAATCAAAGGCAATCAGCTGCAACTATGATTCAGACTTGTTATCATAGTTGGATGTTAAGAAAGAGTTTCTTGAGTTACATGCAAGCTGCAACTAAGATTCAAGCTTGTTATCGTTGTTGGATGTTAAAGAAGAGTTTCTTGAGTCACAAGCAAGCTGCAACCAAAATTCAAGCTTGTTATCGTTGTTGGATGCTAAAGAAGAGTTTCTTGAATCACAAACAAGCTGCAATCAACATTCAAAGTCATTATCGTGGATTTATATCAAGAAAGAGTTTCTTGAATCAGAAGCTAGCTGCAACAAAAATTCAAGCTTTTTATCGTTGTTGGATGTTAAAGAAGAAATTCTTGAATCACAAGCAAGCTGCTAAGCAAATTCAAGCTTTTTATCGTTGTTGGATGTTAAAGAAGAGTTTCTTGAATCACAAACAAGCTGCAATGAACATTCAAAGTCATTATCGCGGATTTATATCAAGAAAGAGTTTCTTGAATCACAAGCAAGCTGCAACAAGAATTCAAAGTCATTATCATGGATTTATATCAAGAAAGAGTTTCTTGAATCGCAAGCAAGCTGCAACAAGAATTCAAAGTCATTATCGTGGATTTATATCAAGAAAGAGTTTCTTGAATCAAAAGCAAGCTGCAATGAAAATTCAAAGTCATTATCGTGGATTTATATCAAGAAAGAGTTTCTTGAATCACAAGCAAGCTGCAACAAGAATTCAAAGTCATTATCGTGGAATTATATCAAGAAAGAGTTTCTTGAATCAGAAGCAAGCAATAACAAAGATTCAAAGTCATTATCATGGAATGTTATTGAGAAAGAGTTTCTTGAATCACAAGCAGGCTACAATAAAAATACAAAGTTATTATCGTGGATTGCAGTTGAGGAAGAGTTTCTTGAATCAGAAGGAAGCAACAATAAAAATTCAAAGGCATTATCATGGAATGCTATTGAGGAAGAGTTTCTTGAATCAGAAGCAAGCAGCAACAAGAATTCAAAGTCATTATCGTGGATGGGTGTCAAGAAACAGTTTCTTGAAAACGAAACAAGCAGTTATTAAAGTACAAAGGGCATATCGGTCTTTAAAATGTTTGAGGGAATTTAAGAACTATGAACTTGAAATGGAGTCAGCAGTCATTATTCAGTCATGTACACGACGATGGATTGCTCGTAGAATAGCATGTAGACATAGATCCTACATTATGCTTATCCAAGTAAGACTTTTGATAACCTTTGGGAAAAAAAAATTCTTTATTAGACTTACGAACGTATAAAAACTCCACACTTATAAGTGCTTAAAGAAAGCTCACACACATTTCCTCATGCAAGTGTGCAACTTTATAATTCTAAACTTCTTTCATTTTTATCATTTTTCAAAATGAAATTGGTATGGAAGAAATTGGTTTTCTTGGTTTTTTTTTTCTTTTGTAAAGATCATGACATGTCTAATTTTTATAATTTTTAGCGCTTTTTCCGTGGTTGGTTGATGAGAAGAGAGTTTTTGTTACAAAAATCAGCTGCAAAGAGGATTCAAAGTGCTTTTCGATGTTTTAAAAGTTTCAAGGCTTTCAAGCGTGATAAGAATGCTGCTATTGTAATCCAACAATTTGTGAGGGAATGCATTACCATAAAGAGGCTCTTAGGTAAGTCTTTGTTTGTTTCAATCACTTACCATTTTTGTCTCGTGGGTCCCATTTGTTTTTGTAACATATATTTGATGTTTAAAACAGGTTGTAATAATGACACCAATAGCCATCAACAACTTAAGAGGTATAAAGATTCTGCTACAAAGTTGCAGAAATGGTGGCGGGGTATATTACTATCCAAAACAAGAACAAAAACAAAATCAGCAATTCTTATCCAATCTAATGTTAGAGGATGGATTTCTAGAAGAACAACAGCTCAAAGAAGGCATCGTATTGCAGTCATCCAAGTGAGTTAACTTCACAAAAAATTGAAATATTTGTTCCTTTGACATGAGTTCAATAATACATGCCAAACGCCAGTATAACCTGTTCTGTTCTGTTCTGTTTTGTTGAAGAAGAAATGTAAAATAAAATGTGAGATGTGTTTTGTTTGCAGTCATATTGGAAAGGGTATATTGAGAGAAAACATTCAAGAGAAAAGGTGTCGGATATACGATTAAGAGTACAAAAATCAGCTGCAAATGTGGATGATGGAATGCGGATTATAAACAGGCTTATTGCAGCCCTTTCACAGCTTAAAAACACCAACAGTCTCAGTGGCATCCTTCATATCTGTGCAACTCTTGGTAATAATCATTACATTCATTTATAGGACAAATTATTATTATTTTTTTTACCCATAATAGTAATGTCTTTACTTTTTGACAGATATGGCAACAAAACACTCTAAAAAATGCTGTGAGGAGCTTGTGGCTGCAGGGGCCATTGACACACTCCTTGGGCTTATTCGTTCCATTAGTCGTAGCATTGCTGAGCAAGAGGTTTTAAGATACACACTTTCCACTTTTAGAAACCTGACATGTCATCCTCATTTGACTCAAGCCCTCATTGATGCTCGTGGATCAATTGAAACAATTTTTTGGGAATTTATACGGTCTGTGAACTTGTTTGTTTTTTTTTTTTTTACAGCTTTTTGCTTTGTCCTGTTTTATAATATTTCTTTTTATTTTGTTGTTACAGGAACAAAGAAGATGCGTACTTTGTTGCGGGAGATGTTTTAAGGAATATATGTTTGAATAAGAATGGGGTTGAAAGATTAGGTGCTTCACATGCTTTAGTTAAGAGATTGTATAATCTTGTTGAAGATCTTAAAAGGAAAGCAGGAAACGAAAAGAGGTAAATATGCTTCAAATCTTTTGTTCAAAACATATTTGCTTTACGGATAGTCCCTGAAATGTAGTGATATTATGAAAAAAAATGACCATTTTACCCCTATCTCTTAAGGGCAAAATGGTCTTTTCATAATATTTATTAACTGACGAGAAGTTAACTTATTTATTTATTTTATTTTTTTCTTGTAAAAATTTGATGGTATATGCAGGAACCCTCAAAGCCTACCAGCAAAGGAACAAACGGGGAGAAGATTGAAAGAAGCTGTTCAGATCTTAAAATTGATAACCAATGGTTGAGATCGATTCCAACTTTGAAACATTGTGGTTTTTCTTTTTTTACTTTTATTTTTGAATGTCTTGTTTTCTTGCAAGAAATCTAGATTAGTGTATATATCAACTCAAAATTTGTGTTGAGTAAATGAATGAAGCTTTTAGGGTTTTTTAGTATCTATTCCAAAAAAAAAGATTATTTTTGGTCATTGAGTATAGCTGAATTTTGAATTTTGATCCCGAAGTTATAATATTTACAACAAAACGAAAAACATTACAAATCACCAAATAAAAATCAAAATTGTAAAAATAAAAACCAACTATATTCAAGGGAATAAAAACACATTTTAAAAACTTAAAAACTACTAAAAAGCAAGCAATTCAAAACGCAACGATTAATGTGTAAATGAAGACGGTTTTTATGTTAGATGAGGAATTATTGTTGCATAATATGATTGATTTTTGTACCAAATTATACCAATCAAATGAACCCTACATCTAAACATATATTTTTCCACCAACAAAATCAACCATGTTTCCCCAAAACAACGACGCCTATAATAACCTTAATAATATCAAATTTAAATATGAGATATATTATGACATGATAATCTTTTCTTTTTGGAAGTTTTAAGGATTCAAGCAGCTCTAGCAAGAACTTCAGTGTGTTGAGGCAGATCAGCTGGTTCGATATAAAACCCCCTTCTGACAAAAGATCTTGGAACAGTTACCGTTAACACCCCATTCTCATAACAAGCAGAAATCCCATTGACATCAATCGTATCCGGCAACCTGAGTTTTTTCATGAAAGTACGACCGCCAGGTGTCATCACCGTATCGTCAGCAGATTCTGTACGGATAATTAGGTACCTTGAGTCCTCAACTTCCACACATATTTCCTCCTTCTTAACCCCTGCAACAACAAACAAAAAAACAACAAATCATATGATTATTTGCGAAAAAAGAACGCCTCCTAAAAACCACACATATTTTAACCATTTATTCAAGGTAATATCAAGAAACTCATAATAGGTAAACCAAACCAAGTTAATACTATTTATGTAAAATGGTTATTTTTTCAACGATCGCTGACCTATATTGGAGTATCATGTAAATCTTGTGTAAAAGTGACTGGCTTCGTAGCCCAATTACAAGAATTTAATTCATTAACTTGTTAAACGGCTAGCATAAGAGCCCACCAAAAGCCCAATTCACATTGGAATGTGTATCTGATACCAACAAAAGCTGAATTCACATTGGAATATTTGTATAAGATACCAACAAAAGCTGAATTCAATTCACATTGGAATTGAAACTTGAACCTTGATATTTATGTAAGTAAACAATCCAGGAAGGAAAAACCCATAATTTGCTTCTAAAAAGCATTTAATCTTGTAAATAATAGGAAGAAAAACAAGGATACCGGGGATATCCGCAGAGTAAATGTGGGATTCGGGGGTTTCGGTCCAATGAACGTAGTTTCCCGGGATGAATTGGTATGGAAAGAGGAGAGGGGAGGTGAAAAAGGAGTGCCAAGAAGGGGGAAATGTTGAAAACTCCATTTTTTCTTCTTCCTTTTTTGCAGTAAATTTCTTGGTAAAAAACCAAGATTTGATAATTATGGATGATAATTGAATCAAAAGCAGAAAGGAAGAATGAAGAGGGAGAGGTTGGTTTGTCGAATTATAGAGCAACAAATTGGGTGGTGGTGGGTTTGGAAAGCACTTTCAAAATGATTGGAGTTTTGGAATTTTGGAGGATATAACAAAACCCTATCCATTCAAGAAATTGTTTCTTTATTCATCTATCAATCAATTTGAGGTTCTGGTTGAGATATTTTTGAGGTGAAATCACATTATTACCCCTAAAATATGACATAGATTGTTGGATATAAAAAGCTTTCATTAAGTCATTACTATATCTTTATTCAAGACATTAAAGTAACGAAAGCAACATGGATGTCAGCAACAGAAGATAAGTTAGTTTTATGATATCCTATTCTAATAAAACAAACCTTTTAGTGGATACATAGCAATTTTTATGCACCATAATGCCATGTGTCAATTTCTTACTGTTTTTCCATTTTTTAATTTAGTTGACATAAATGCTTTAATCAAATCCAACTATTAATTGCTAATTTCCGGTAGTCTAAATTGAAACCTCATAATCGCTATCCCTATAATTTTGGAGAATACCTTCCTATCCAGTTTAAGTGGAAATTATATCCCATAAAATCAGTCCACGTTTTGAAAACAATTCAACTACAATCAAAATCTTTTGACTTATTACTTTGCAACACTTCACAAAGAGGGCCTACAAGAATCGAAATAAAAAACAGGTAATCATTGAATTTTTTTTGTGTTCATTAGTTTTTTTTTTATTATTTTTATTATTATTATCTATTTTTGGATAACTAAGCTATAAACTTATAATCAATATTATATAAACAAAAATAAGATAAATGAAAAAAAACATCAGGTTAGTTTTCTCTATTTTATGATTATTAATTCTTTTCGTTTTTTCTTTATGCAGTCTGCTACGTTTCTCAATCCAAAACATAATTATGCATAATGTATGTTAGTGTGTGCGTGTATATGTCTGGTGTAGTGTTTGTGTGTTATGTGTATGTGTTTGTTTTCCTTTGTTTGAATATGTTTGTTTTTCATTGTGTTTTTATGTGTGTATGTATCTGTTTTATTAGTTTGGTTTGGAGTATGTGTGTTTTTTCATAATTTTGGTCCCATTAAGTTTTATCATGGAAAGTTTGTACTTATTTGATGTTTTTGTAACATTTTCATTTTAACAAAACAGTACCAGTCCACTTTTGTGTAAAAGAAAGAAAAATAACATTTTCATGTAAACATAAAAGTACCAGGGACCGTTCATGCAAAAAAAATATTATAGGGACCATTCCTGTAATATACTTGACAGGGACCAGTAATGCAAAAATGTTATACATTGATCATTCCGGTAATATAGTTATTATATACCAACAACTTTCATTTATATAATATAGTTATTATATACCAACAACTTTCATTTATATCATTTTATAAACTAGGTTGATATAAGTTGAACTAAAATAATATTTACTTAATTTTATAACATTTTACTTTTCATTTATGCTGTTTAACATACTTTCTATTAATGTAAACTTATAGCATCATACCATCTAATATAGCATCCTACTATCAGTTTTGTTTATCATTTAAAAAATAAATTTGAACAAAGGAACTATTTCTGTAATTGTAAATAAACAGGGACCATTTCTGTAATAAATGGACCAAACTCATGAAATAGCAATCTAATTAGATTTATATGTATCATACAACATCCTACTTTCAGTTTTATTTCTCATTTGTACAATAAATTTATGTTATTGCGTTTATGGATATCATATTTGGTATAATTGATTTTTTTTATAACAAAATCATTCGTGGATGGAATACTTCTTGTTGAAACTACACAAAATATTTTTCCCAACATCTTCATTTCTTATATCAATTTAGGATAAAGAAATAGAAGGTTTTCATGTACTTACAACTGAAACCTCACTACAAAACCCTAATCTACTCTCATTCAATTACACTCAACCCTAATCTAAAACAGATTATACGAAAAGAAACATCCGATCATTAATCTATCAACAAAACGATCGAAAGACTATAACAACTTGTTAACAACACAAGATCAGAGAGAAGTAGAAGTATGAACAACGAAAAAAGAGAAAACCCTAGATCTATTTTTCAAGCTGAAGACTCTCATCTGCAAAATATCTTCCCTCTCTCTCTTCTTTTATATCTTGGTATCACGAATATGGATCAACCCGACCATATCAAAAGATCCGTGCATTTATCCGTCCCTGCATTTACACTCTAAACCCACAACAAACACTTTTAACATAATAACCCCTTTAAGAAAACAAATAAATATAAGATTGAAATATTCCACTATTTTCAACATTCCCCCTCAATCGAAATATTTATTTGTTTTCCTTAAAAATATCAATGAGACCCATTTTTTTAGATAAAAAATCATGTTGTTTGATATTCAAAGATTTTGTAAGTATATCTGCATTCTGTTCAGAAGAAACAATTTTAACAAGTTTTATAACTCCATTCGAAATTTTTTCTCTTACAAAATGCAAGTCAATCTCAAAATGTTTAGTTCTTTCATGAAACACTGGATTAAGAGCTAACTTAATCGTTGAATCATTATCACAAAATACAGAAACCGGAATAAAATTCTTAACTCCTAATTCAAAAAAGATTTTCAAAACCCAAATTATTTCACAAGTAATAGACCCAAGAGCTCTATATTCAGCTTCAGTGGAAGATCTAGAAACAGTAGACTGTTTCTTACTTTTCCACGAAATCAAACAATTATTAAAATATACCAAGTAACCTGTTACAGATTTCCTTGTAGTTAGACATTTTGCCCAGTCTGCATCAACAAATCCACTTAATATAAAGTTATCAGATTTAGTTATTGCAACTCCTTTTCCAGGACATCCTTTTAAATATCTTAACAACCTTAAAGCAATTTTCAAATGAGATTTCCTAGGTTTGTGCATAAATTAACTTAGCACTTGAACTCCATAAGCAATATCTGGCCTAGTAATAGTAAGATATATAAGTTTTCCAATCAGCTTTTGAAATTCAGTTTTATTATCTAATAACCCATTGTTTTTATCATCATTTTCTGTATTTATCATAAAATTTGTCTCTAATGGAGTGCTAACTGGTTTACAACCAAGCAACCCATACTCATGCAAAAGCTCTAAACAATACTTTCTTTGATTTAAACATAAACCATTATCAATATTAACTAATTCAATATCTAGAAAATACTTAAGAACTCCAAGATCTTTAATAAAAAATTGAGTTTTCATAAATTCTTTAACCTTTTTTAATTCAGTTTCACAACTACCAGTTAATATAATATCATCAACATATACAAGTAACACAGTTATTGAACTTTCAAATCTTCTAATAAACAGTGAATAATCACTTATGCTTTGTTGAAAACCAAACATAAACAAAGAAGCACACAATTTTTCATTCCATTTTCTAGGAGCTTGCTTTAAACCATATAATGATTTTGTAAGCTTGCAAACCCTAGAATCATTTTCAGAATAATATCCAGGGGGAAGAGACATATACACAT